TTCCCTACTGTGATTTCACTGTATTTGGTGTACACTCTATCCCTCCGGGGTCTGAGATGTGCATGCATAATGGAGCAAACTCAGTCCTGAGCTAATTATCAGCAAATCCAGTGTCTGAGATTTGTTGCTGTTGGATATCCTAATGACCTGAATTATAACTGGAACTAGCTGGAATAACACTAACATGAAATTAGCTTTTAAGAATCTAAAAGACAGGAGTAAGTTCTGCTCTTGAGTTTCATGGCTGTGAAGGAGGAGAGAATCTGGGGTGGCAGGATAAAAGTTTACCACAGAGGTTTACTGTAAACGTTGTGTCTTTGACCTGGCATATTCTTGGCTCCACTTTCCCAGGCTACCTAAATGTATGCTAGTTAAGAGAAAAGAAACTGCAACAAATTTGCCCTTTTGATCCCTAATCATTGAAAACTGCAGCCAATTCTAGTCAAGTAGTGGAAGTGCAGGTTTTTTGTCACCTCTGTTGTCTGCTCGTACTGCAGAATAGGAAGAATACAAAGCTGCACTGGTTTTAAATGATTAGCTTTCTGACCCTTTACTTACTGCAAGAAACATAATATACAGTATGTAAGAACATCCTAGAGTAAAAGAGCTAAAAATAACATTTCAGATGTATTGTTGGATAGACAAATATATAGTGGTATTAACATAATTTTGGCAGTTAATGCAACATTTTCTGCTTCTGACAGAATTGCCACTGTGCTCCCCTGTGCTATAGAGCCTGATCCAAAACCTATTGAACTTAATAAAAGGATTCCTGTAGACTCCAATGGGTTCTGGACCAGGTCTGTTTTTGGATGGAAAAGCAGTCCAGCAGCATGGAGAAATGATGCAGAAAAAATGGTCATTTGCAGATGAAATCCGCTGGGTGTGTATAAGGCCGCAGTATACGTGCTTAGTGTAGGTAGAGCAACCGTGGAAGTGAAATGGATCTCTTAACTCAATGTTTTGGGCTACTGTGTTGTCCAGAGCAGACTTTATTTGCAATGGCTACTGTTTGAGGCTGTGGACTGTAATACAGCTTTGGTGTGGACTCAGCCTCACAGAGACATAGGGCAGGAGGTACAGATCTCCTGAATCAAGTCCAGTCACCTGGCATTACGATCAACAACAGGATGTAATTCCAATCATGAATTTATCCAAGTCCATCGCTCACTTACACTTACTTGAAGGTTTTTCAAGAATCTCCCTGCTTACATGATTAGAAACTTTCTTCCTATTCCTAGCCAAAATGTATTTGTGGCCATTTTATACAATTTACCCTTTTGCCAATGTTGTCCACTAGGTTAAATAGTGCCTCTCCCTCCCTGGTGTTTAGCACACAGACATAGTTATTGAATGGAGTCATATAGCCTTCTCAGTTGGCATTCTACTAGATGAAATGAGCTGAGCACTCTTGGTCTCTGTTCATGAGAGTTAGGACTCTCCTGTTCATTCCCCTGATCTTCCTAGCAGCCCTTTTCTGTACCTGTTCCAGTTTGAATTAATTTCTGTAGAACATGGGTGATCAGATTGCAGTATTCCAGATGAGGATCACCATGCCTTAGACAGTGGCATTCATATTTCTCTGTCTGCTGGAAATACCTCACCTGGTACATCCTAGAATTGCATCTGCCTTTTTCGCAGGCACATTGCATTGGTAGTTCGTAGTCATTCCTGTTATCAGCTAAGATCTTTTTCCTCTGCTGTCATTTCCGACTGATGAGCTCCCAGCTTATAGCAGTAATTCTTGTTAGTCTTCTGCTTGGTACTGCTGAGTTTCATGCTGTTCCTGTTATTTTAGTCATCAAGTTTATCGAGTTCTTCCTTCTTAGCTAATAATTCCCATGTCCAAACAACAGTTTAATGTGTACAACAGTGATGTACATCTGGAATTAGTTTTGCTGCGTACGTGCATGCTGCTTGGCTCTAGAGGGCATTGTTCTCACTGACATGCACAATGTTGGAACTGAAATCTGTGGTTACATTCACTCCAGAGGCATCAGCAACACTGTCAGCAAGCAGGAATCGTATCCAGAAGAGAGCTCGGATCCCTGTAGAGATGACTGTGCCCCCTACTCATTGATACTGCCCCAAGCGCCAGTTTCTCTTTGCATATAGATAGTATTCCACAGATGTGGACAGTACAATTCTAATATTATCTATATGAAAACATCTACCCATATATTAAGCAGAAAAACGTCCCATGGATGCTAACAGTCTTTCAACTCAAATATGTAACACCATCATGAGTATTTACTATGTTCCCACATACCAATAGGCAAAGATACAACTTTAACCAGTGCAGTTTTATGGCTTCCTTTTTTAATGTTACTCCAGGGAGGGTCAAGGGTATGAAACTAGAATATGATCACATGATGTAGTCACTGGGGGACAGGCCCATCTTTTTTTACAGCAAGAAAAAATGCTGTATTCCCCCTGATCATTGTTACTGGGGGATCAAAGGGTAGTATTTTTTACAGTGCCTTGAACTCTTTTTTTTAAATTATTCGATAGGACTTTCATTTTTTTTGACAAAAGCATGAAGAAAATGGGATATTCAGTCACTTATTTTTATGTTAATGGAGTACAGGACTATACAGCACCTTAAAGGGTTAAATACCCTCTAAATCTAACCAAGAATACTAACTTTTTAACTTTTCAGTATCAGCATAACATGCATGTCTAGTTGGACATAACTTTTTAAAAAAGGAATCCAATTACGCCAGTTCAGACTAAATTTCTCTTATTTTTTCATGTATTTGTTTGTCTAGTGAATATATAGATAATTACGCTCATAATGACTGTATCCCTAGCCATACTGATAAGAGCCAATCTCATCTATCACAGAGGGTCCTTAAAATTTTACAGTAGTCTTTGCCCTGCTCCGTAGAGTGCTGCCCAGAGGAATGATTCTTGGAGTCAGAGTGACACTCAGTGGCAAGATAGAACAAATAAATCACAGTTCTTCTGATTCTTTCTGTGGTCCCCATGGGTCATACAAATTAGAAATCTCAAATCTTAGTTAGAACCTTACCAAAACAACTCATTTGATAATGCAGTGCATAGACAGTATAATCCAGGCAGCTGTTGCGATAGAAACGCTTGTAATTTTAGAAGTTTTAAAACCAGCCAAATTGTAATTTCTAAGGTGCAGCATTGAATTTCACCAGCCGGAGTTACCATAATTTTTCACCATGTTGTAATTTATATATTTGCAAGAAAGATGCAAGCACCAAACATTGTTCATAGACAGTTTAGCGGTGCATAGATGGCTGTCAAAAGCCTTGTATGTTGTGTGTGTGGAAAAACAAAATCGATATCTGTCTGGATTCTGCTAAATGTACAGCATTCTGTTTTATTTTATCTGAGTATTTGGGGAAAGAAAACACTTTCACTTATATATGAGAAAGAATACTTGTTCATTCATTGGTGCCAGAAGTCTTCCTGAGTCTAAGCTGGTCAAAATCTAAGTCCAAGAATGGAAGAAATGACGAAGTGTTCCCTAAAACTCTATTTTGAAAATAATTTCCATCTCTTTCTTACAGGGACCAGTTGCATCAACAATGTCTATGCGATCCATTCTAATGAGTGGACAGTGCGTCTCACTGCCTCCACCTCCACCACCACCACCAGGACCTCCTCCTCTCTTTGATACAGAAAGCCCCAAGGATGAAGCAACTGCATCTCGCTCAGCCTTATTTGCCCAGCTTAACCAGGGAGAGGCAATTACCAGAGGTCAGAGGAAAATAATTCAGTCTGTCACTATTTGGCCAACTGAGAGAGCTACTGCTACATGTACTTAGCCAAATTCTGTCTGTGGTCACACCTAGAGATTGCCAGGCCAGCATTTTTGAGCTTAGAAGACTAAATTTGATGATTAAATTCAGGTTGAGGTACCCAAATAAATAGCTTAATTTTCAGCAGAACTCTGTACCTATAACTCCCATAGAAATAAATAGGACCTGAAGGTACTCAGCACTTTTGAAATTCAGGGCTCAGTATGAATTTAGGCACCATATTACAGGCATCAAAAAATAGCCCTGTAGAACTGAAAGTGGAACGCAAGTGGAAAGATAATCTAAATTCTTCATAAGTCCCAAAAATTTCACTTAAGCAGCCTTGTAAGTATCATATAAGTATATAAAGGTAAAATAGGATTCAAGTCTTAAGTATCATGGGCCAGGCCAGCACTTGGATTGGAGACCACCTTGAAACTGTGGCACTGTAGATACAAGACAAGGACTTGTGGCTGAATGCTTGACAAATATTAGACCATAGAAACCAAATTAATGATAAGGCTTCATTCACCCCATCATTGCTGCTGAGCTGATGAATGGGAATGAAAGGAAAGGATTATGAACACTCAAGTTTGTGATTCTTGTTCATGCTGACTTCAGTGGCAGTGTCCAGATGTAACATAGACCAGAATTTGCCCACTCTGCAAATTCACACACAGTATGCTGATTTGTACTGAAATGTTATTGTGTTAGATAAAGAGGTGCTTATTACTATACCAGTCTGTAATATTGCCAGTACATGTAGGTACAGCTTTTAAGCTTTTTCCAATAAGACTAGACAATCTTATTTAGAATATATGACTTTGAGGTGAAATACATGCAATGAAATAAGACTTTTAGCACAAGGTCTTATGGGGAGGGGTTGCAATACAAAATGTGGGTGAGAGAGAGGATTTAATTGTCACAGATGAAACTATAAAATGAATGAAGTGGCACAGTACATGGTTCATTGCATTTATAACAAGTATTTAGATCTGTGTGTGGATAGTTGCCAGTAGGTATTGCTGAGTTTCTTTGTGACAGGCCATCTACAGTAAAATAACTTTAGTTAAAACTTTTTTAAAGGTTTGAGGACAAATAATTCCCTTTGTGGGTAAATACTTAAAGTAAAAGTGTAGG